GCACTGCGTCTGACAACCTGTTCCTGAGTCCTTCGATAAGCGTCTTGACACTTCCTGATCCACTTGTGATGATGGCTACAATTCTTGCATCCTACACACGAATACATCAAGCTCCCTTTATTCGTTTGGCATTCCCACAATTGGTCTCCAACTTGATAAACATGAGATGTGCAACATTGCACCAAACATAGCGCTGCGCGAATCCATGAGGCAACGTTCATGTCTGGGTTTCGTAAACCTATACCTCATGTTACACTTCTCATGGTCTGCACTCTGATCGCTTGACCTCATTACTAGATCTTTCTTGCAACTAGCAACTCTTATATCCTGAACAGCCCTTGCACGCTCAACCCCAGGCTCGAACTGCACCTCCCACGCGCGACTCTGCTCATCCAAGATCATGTCGAATGCTCGCGCAGGGCACTTTAGGCTCACCTGAGTTCGATGCACGGTGCGCTTGGATTGACAACTCTTCTCCGCGCTGATCTCAAAGTTATCAGCCGTACAGCATCGAAAGCACTGCCAAAAGAGCTCAAATGCTACAGCTCGGCCTCTGGTTCTCTGGCCTTTACATATGGAGATTCCATCGAGCTCAACTCTGGCAGAGTACTTATTATGCTGTACTGATTCCCTGCAAAACGGATCTGTGGATCTCTTCCTATAGACATAGGATGATCCGGCCATTCCAGCTCATACCATCGAGATGGCAAGAGTGACTTGCAGACCAGGGCTCGAAAGCTGGTCGGTGTAGAACGAACCACCGACCCACAGTTCCATGATTCCTGAGATCTGGTTGCAAGCGACCGAAATGCATGTCGTGGCAGCGTGGCATGAAGAGCAACTGTACTCGCTCACGCTCTTCATCCACAATCAGAACGGCTCAGTGGTTCTGATCTCTGGCTCCTCTCATGGTGTGCATGTTTTCGGTTCTTTGTGTATGCTGCGTACGGAAAACATGCAAATGAGCTGATTTGTGTAAAATATGCAGAATCGTCAATATGATAGCGCTGCAGAGTTTACATGCAGTATGATTCCAAAATATCACAATTGATACGCTCGGCAAACCACTGCATTGTTAGAAACATAATCGAAAAACAATGGACGTGGTCAAAGGTTCGAAAGAATGCTTCACACACAGCAAACCAGCTGTCTCTCGGCTGTTTCTGTCTATTCCGAGTCTTTTGCACGTTTCTAAACACACACTCTTCTGGCCCTACTTTTTCCTTTGCGAACTCGTCGAACTGCATACCAAAAGGATTGTGTCTGACATCATTAGCACTACAACTCATGTTCATAGCGATTACCTGACCGACTTCTTTTCTTCAATGAACACACTCCCTGCCCCACAAGTTGCTTCGACCCTGCTGGATCTATCTGTTCCGCTGCTTGTGTTCGTCCAGCTCGGAGGATCTGCTGGCTGTTATCGTTCGGCTGATTTGCAACCTGATTCGGGCTTGAAGATACTGCATCATTTCTCTTGGTCCTATGGGTCTCGAACTGCGCGAAAGGTTCTGGTTTCATTGCTTGACCTGGATCTGTCGGATAGAAACCTTTCATTTGCCCATTAGGCATCTGACACTAAGTATAAGTACCAATCCTAATGCCCTGCGAAGAACCCTCGAAAGAAACAAAGCAAATCGTGTACCCGATTTTGACGCTACAATCCTGTGGTTGGTGAATGCTAAAGCTCAACAGCAAACATATCATGCTGAGGACTGCAAGTACCACTATGCATGTCAACCATCGAATCAACACTCTAGCACTCACACGATTGGCGTCCACTCTTTCACACTTCTGCACGGGCTGAATCTTTGGTGAACATGGTTGGTGCTCTGCACTCTGCTCGTGGTAGGTCACGACCCCAACAAACGAAGCAAGACGTCCCCCCGTCACTGATCTCCGACCATTGATCATCATCTTTCCAGCTCTCATCCCAGCCTTCATCATAGCCTGACCAATAGTCTGACGATTCAGAGAACTCTGCTGCTCGTTGTCCTTTCTTACTTTTTGATTTGTCTTTTCCTTTGGTGTCCTTGCCCTTGGTTTCTTTGCCTTTGCTGCCTTTGCTACCGTTCTTTCCTTTCTTTTGATTCTTGCCTGTGTTTCCCTTGTCTTTGTTCTGGTAGTACTGATCGTACTTGTGTGGACAATTCCGTGCATAATTTCCTGTACTACCACACTTGAAGCAAGCATTGGCATCTTTGTTCGGATTCTCCTGCTGTTTATTCTCACCTTTACCTTTTCCTTGGTTCTTGTCTTTCTCACTCCCTTTACCATCCTTTATCTTTCAATTGTGCAATTGGCTTATGGTTCAACTCTGACCAGGCTCTCTGCTGCGCCTCGTACCTGAGCCCTGCCTCGGTGTAGGCTTGGAATGACTCTTGCACGACATTGAGAACACGCCACTGTCAACAAGCGTCAGGCAACGAACGAAGAAGAATCAAAATCTGATCGGGCTCCATGATGTCCAGTTGTGCGTTGTTCACGCTTGGATCAACCAACTGCTGAATGCGGGCAAACTTGAAAAGCTCATGCTGGATCTGTCGAACTGTCTCAGGGATGGTGGGACATTTGAATACCCCACTGGTGATTCGGTTCCTAAAGAACATCAGCTCTGTTCGGGTCTTGATGCAAAATTATCTTGACAGCAAACGAACAGTTTCGAATCCACAACAGTCCACAACAATTAGCATGTCCTGAAAAGCATTGTTTCAAGAACGAAAGCAAACGAGTAGATCGGGTGATCTGAGCTGCGGTCATCTGGTTCCATGTGATGACTGTTGGACTACGAAGTGACCAAAGAATCTCTCTTGGCCATTCATTGTCTCCTAAGCCGGCCCAAGATGCAAGGTTTTGTATGTAGCTATTGAACCCTTCTACTTCCTCTGGTCGGGTGGTGCACTTGTCATGTGGTGGAACTGGAAAAGCAGGCATCCACTTCTCAGAACGTGTGAAAGGATTTCGGTCCTCACTTCCACGAAAAACCTCAACTGCGTCCTGCATTGCTCTGGGTGACTGCTGCAACCCTGGTGGAGGAATATTGGCATTGGTCGCACTTGCGCTAGCAAAAGGATTCCTTTCGGGAGAAGAAGCTCTTTGTGCATTCTGCCATGGATCATTCTGTTGCAAAGGATCAATCGAAGCAAATGTCCCATTCTCTTGCATTGGGGCAAGCATTGCTTGTCCAGGCAATCTAAACCACTAGGTGTTGGAACCATTGGTGCTGGAGGTGATTGCACCGGCCCACAGCTAGGACTACCTTGCGATGGCAACTCATTTACCTTCAACTTGCTAGTCAAAGCTTCTGCAGCAGGTACCAACGAACCATAGGCTTCAGCTAGGCCTTGGATCCTCTGTTCCAAGTCATGGATTTGATCCTCCCTCAGTGCCGTCCCAGGTTCACCAGAAGGCATAGAAGGATCTGCTCCGAGATCGGTAGATTCTGCCATAGCTCCGCTACCATGAAGAGCATCTATACTCGCTCACGCTCTTTTTCCACTTGAGCCAAAGTAACGAGGTGCATACCCGATTGACCTGGTTTCTGGTGTCGGGTCTTCGGTTAATGGACCTGTGGATCTGTGATATACATTGGATGATCCGTCCATTCCTTTGCTGACTGAAAGTGATCAGCCTCAACAAAAATGCATTGAATGCATGGCCAAAAGTAGCTTAAATGCTACAGCCCGCCTCCCAAATTTCTTGGCCTTTACATGTGGGATTCCACTGAGTTGAACTCTGGCGGAGTACCTATGGTTGTACTGATTCCATGCAATACTGTTCAGCATACATAGAAAGCGTGCATCATCCACTATCGGTTTGCACCAAATCGCCAAGGTGGTCTAGAGTTCTTGAAGGAAGGACGCCAACAACACCGCAAGTGGATACTCACGACAGAGCTGGCCTCTTGCATTCCCATATTAAAGACCAAGACAGCTCATAGCAGTTTCAGAATCTCAGAGGTCGTTTTTCTGTCTATACCAAAACGAGCGATGCGGGTCCGCAAGATGCTCAAACAGTGTGGGTGATGTTGATTTGGACCCGGACACAAGCATCTTTGTGTATCAACACAAGCATCCCGGCGGACTCTTTACCGGATCACACATTTCGTCCGAATTGCTGCCGCGCCGCATTTCGTCCCGGCTACCGTTTTCGTTGAACAATTGCTTGAATAGATATGATTCGTTGGTTTTCTCAATGACAACCCTCACAGCATTTAGTGGCCAAAAACGTAGCTAACAACTGTTCTACTCTCAGAGACTCAGCAATGTGTATTTTTGCAGGGTTTTACCTGTGTTCTCCCAGCGCCACTGGTAGCGGCGCAGACATTTCGACAGCGCAACATGTCTTTTGCCTTTCACTTTCGAAGACAAGCTGGCAGGAATCGTTTTCTTGGTGCCTTTCCCAAAAACATCCATGTTTCCAGTATGAACCTCTACCATGAATTTGGTTTGTTCAGGTTGAAGATTCCCTTGGAGTGAGTGCACGATCGATATCATATTTTTTAGCCAGGCCACGATAATAAGGGGCACCGTCAACGAGCAGCAGGTTTTTCAATCCATGGGGGATCATGAGAAGAAACGCCTGAAAATCCATTGACTTCTACTGTAGAATATTTTGTTGAGATTCTGGAGGAGGCTTTCTAGAAGCCTTCGAAGACGCCAAAGTAAATCAACCCTGACAGCCAAAGTCGCAACCCAGGAAGAAGAAGAAAAGAAAAAGAAAAGAAAAAGTAGAAGTAGAAGAAATATTAGTAGAAGTGTGAGCATGCCATCCACTATGTGCGCAAATGCAAAGAAAGCAGTGTGTGGCATACACTACAAAAGTGAGCATCTCCGAAGCCAGTCACTTTAATTCCCTTAGATCACTATGTCATCGTCGATCTGCCGATTACTGTAATTTCTGGTTGACCAGTCTCCGGCAGCCTTCCGCGTGTTGTGGAAGGAGGGTGCTGTCCCACCTAGGCCTGGACAATTTTCAATTATCTCTCCTACAGTATGCATCGAGGGGGAGCGACTTCAGCGTACGCACAGGGCATGCAAGTCGACCAGCTACTACCGGAAACACGATGTGACAGCTCAAACTTATCTCGATCAAGCCCTTCGGGAATATACCGCCTTGTTTTTGCCTCCTGCAAGTCTCGGGAAAATTCGCTCCCTCCTTGCCAAAAGGAGGGCTTGATCGGAGGTAGCCTTTTATATTCAGATGACACTTGACCCTGGCCAAAAGGGCGCTGTTGGGATTAAGAGGTGGGTGAACAGGGTAGTGCATGAAAGCGCACCTACGAGAGCACACATGTCAGAAAACACACCAACAAACGGGAGACACATAGAAGCGCGAGTGTGAAAGCGCCAGATGCGGGCACAGTTTCAGCACACGCGAGGACATATGACATATGAGATCATGTGAGCACAACATCACAACAACACATGAGGACACGCGACCACATATGAGGACACAAATGAGCCGACAGACGCAACATGGCGGTACAGGTATAGGTGATCATATCAATACATTCATGAGAACACACAATCGCAGATATTTTACAAGGTTCTGCTATGAGATTTGGAGCTCAGCGCCGGTTGATTTCCTTTCACATCCATCCCAAAGGTCGTGTGACCAGCAATTTCTGTTCAGTTCTAGGATATGCCAGCTATGCTCGTAACTCTCATCTCCTGGTACGTCGTGGTATTTTCGCATAGCAACATTTATAGCTTCTTTCTTCATCACAATAGAGCTTTTTGGTGCGCGTGTGGTGACTACACCTGAAAACAACATTGTGTCTTTGTGCCAATTCGTGCTGAAGCAACGGACGTTTGTTTAGCAGACTGGAGTTGCTAAGCGCAATGTGTTTTTATTCAGCATGCAAGGTCGACTGCCAATGGAGTGGAACAACTACAGCTACATCTTCGGGAGTGAAGGACCACGGGCCTGTTTCAAGGGATTTGCTTGATGTCAAAAACAGCAGAAGAGAAAGACAAAGGCGACCCACAATATTCAATGTAATAGCGAGCAGGAGAAGAGGATTTCTTCCTCTTCGCACGGCAAGTACGCAACGGAACACAAAACACTCAACAAGTCCTTCACTGCCCTTTCTGTCAGCTTTGCAGATCATGTCCTTGCAGGATCCAATGAAGACCCCACGATCAATAGCCTCATCCAGTTTCGGAAGCGTGCCATCAGAGGCCAATCAGGGTCATCCGCGTGTGTTAATATGTCAATATGTTGAACAGATCCTTCGGGAAATCTTGCCTGTTCCCTTGCATTCTCCCAAATTATGTAAATCAAAACAGCAGCAGCAGGGTCTCGGAGTGTATTGCAGTGATCTCTTGTTTGGCGCCCAAATATCCTGACAGTGGACCGCCAACCTGTATGGCACTCTTTCTTTTGAGCACAGCGCCCTCTCCCACCTGATCTCGCTCCATCCAGATTTGAGCTCTTTACTTGGCCTAGATCGAAATTGTAGCAGATTAGCTTAAAGCGCAAAGGTCGTCGTACTTTCCGGGCTCCAAGGTTTCAAAGCTATCCTGGTTCTAGTTCTAGGTATATCCTTCCTTCCCTGTGCTTTTCAGAGGAGGTGCTGCATCCACACCCAACCCTCAGAATCTGTAAACGGTCGCACTTCGCACGAGCGCCTTGAACCTCTCGCTATAGAGTGTACGCGGACCGGATCCCTCAACCTCTCACCTCCAGGTAGAAACTCGGACCCACCATCAACGGATAGAAAACAGGGAGAAGTGCATCCCTTTTTTCTTGCGTGCGGGTTCGCAGCAACAGCTCCCGCGCAGCGACGGAAGGGAGCCGCATCGCCAGGGCGCGCAGCTGCGCAACCGCGGCAGCAAAAGCAGCAATACCTCCAGGAATGCAAATGACAGGAAAGTCGGCTGCACGTGGTGGAGGTATCAGGTAAACCCATCCGAGTCGAGCGCGCGTATGTCTCACGTGGTCTGAAAAAGGAAAGCTCGAAAAGTACTCTCCCCTCCCCCAAAAAAGCGTCGAGTTCGTGGAAACACACTCTGACTGTCAGTTTCCATCGCACGGGTTTTTGCGAAGTTCAAGGCATTTAGCACTAAACAAGATGCAGGTCAGGCACTCCGGCTTGATGGCCAAAGCGCTTTGGCAAATCATCTTGGATGAACTTGAGCCCTTTGAGTGTATCATCCCTGGAAGTCATTCAAAAAGGCATCCAGGACAAACAACACATAACGTCACTGTTTCAATCCCATGTCTGCAAGAGTGTCGAAACCACCTCCAAACGTTTGTTATCTTGTTTGTTTCAGAAATGCAGTTTCTCAGCTGACCAAAAAAATCAGCTCGCTGGATGAACTTGAACCCAAAGATGAACATGTTAATGTAACGTTAGTAGAGCAATATATATGTATAAATGCGAGACCACAAATTCAATCTAAAAGCACGGGAGGCGCATGTACATCTATTCAAAGCTTGAGCCTCCACATGGGAAAGCGAAGTTAAATGGGCTACTGCAGACCTGTGCAAGCAAGACACTTCGTTGGTAACACATGGTACCTGAGGAGAGCATTCTTGTTACTGCTCTTGGTTGTTTTTCGTTTGTGCACAGAGTATCGAAATTTGGAAGTCAGCGTCTGAAGGAGGACTGAGCCATACCTCCGGAGGTATGAGCTGCACACCAGCTTCTGATAGAGTCTCACACAGTAATGTTCTGTAGTCCAGCAGCTTGATCCCAGTTGAGGACAGAAAACATGTCGTAAGCAGAGGGCCCCGTCAGATACACACGCTGTGGGAAAGGTTGGTGCGCGAGGACTGAGCCACACCTTGCTGTGGGGAAAGACGTCGATGCAGAAGCACATACCCAGAAGTCAAGACGTGGTGGAGCCTGAATTTGCTGCAAGCTTTCCACCCCGGGCTGCAATACTGGATCTGCCTCACATCCAACCTGATGGTCTGGTGGTTGTGAATTGAATCGAGCCAGCAAGTGGATGTCTTGCCACCCATCTTTCTCTGTCCCAAACTCATGACAGACGTCTTCCAGCCCCACACTGTGGCCAACATGCTCACAGATCAGATTGACGAAATTCCCTGCGCCAAACCTGCGTTTGGTGCTTGGATTCGAAGAGTTGAGCAACCATGGATTTGAGGAGGTCAACGGTATAGTGTTGGCAATCCGCTGTGCGGAACGGACAACGAGCGACTTGGGTCAGCGAGGTATATTCAACGTGAAACCATGTCACGTCTCCACGCACTGGAGTTTTTGTCTCCATCTCAACGGGAGCTGTCTCATCATTCATTGACATTCTATGAGAGAATGCTGCTAAAAGCAAACTTGTGAAAAATCACGATCTATCTTCTTTTGAGCAATGAACATGTTTCATTTCTCTCTACACACATCTCCATACAAGCATCCAATACAAACAACTCATAACATGACTCTTTGTTATCTCGTCGATTTCACAAACGCAGTTTCTCAGCGAACGCTTTTTTTTCTCAGTATCAGTGGAGATGTCCTCCAGTCCAAAGGTAAGGAAGCACTTATGAGAGGAAGCTGTAGTGGGAGAGGAATGTAAGGTTTGCAAAAAGGTACTTACTCTGCGGGAACTCTTGCTGCTGTCAACCCAAGGAAATGACAGGGATAACAGTGTAGCGTGGGAAATTAGTCTACAAACCATGGGTCGTCAGACGAATCAGACAGCATCCACGGAGAAGCAAGCTCTTTATCATCCGAATCCTCTTCCCAAGAGACGTGCGCGGCTCCCTGCGTTTTATTGTTGTATGAACATAACTGAACATGAACCCGGACGAGTCAGAGGGTGATCTCCGCAGGGTAGCGTAGGAAATCGAGACTTCACTTGCATCGAATTCTGGTGACGAAAAATCACAGAAATATGCTTCCGTGGAAGCCACAATAAATAACGCAGTGTCTCCGTCGAAAAGCTGGGAGATTGTTGTACTGCAGTCCAATCATTTTCAAACCATCGATGCAACCAACTCACATCCCAGGTAATCTCGGAGGAGCGTTGCGTGAGACAGATCTATGCCCAGCCGGTCGCGAGTCAGAGTGAATTCCCACCCGGGCCACATCCAGCGGGCCTCTCGGACACGATGGCGAAACATAGGCTTTTGGATCCCTTAATAGCAATGTTTGGCTTTTTCACGCAGGTTGCGCGCAAACGACAACATCTCGGCGCTGGTGTACTGTGTCCACTGTAGACAGGGAACCAAATCAGCCACACCAAGCAAGGGGTAACCGGACCTGCAGTATAGAACCTGGAATACTTGGAGCGGGAGTCGCTGCAAAACCATGTTTCCTCGCAGTGCTTCGTGGAAGACGACGTGTTTGTAGGGGAACTACCCGAAAAGTATCGTGCGCGTGAAAGGGAAAACCTGAGAATAGCAAGGGTGCGTTTACAATGAAACCACGGAGCAAGAACTTGAGCCTCCAGCACGAAAAGCAAAAAAGGAGATTTCGTTTGATTCAATAGTCATTGAATATTGTTCAGGGGTTTGGATGGGTTTGGTATCTTTAGAATGTAATATTTTGAAGGGTTCTTCTGTCAAGTTTGGCCCAAGAGAGAGGGCTTGAAGCCATGGGATCAACATGGATCCTCGAAGATTGGCGTGGCTTGGCACAGCCTAAATTATACAAAATTCTTCCCAAGTTCCCCTCAATTTGAATGCTTTCGAGCCCATGAGCCCGAGGTTCATAGCCAGGTGTGCTCCTAAGTCACATGCTGGGAGAGGTGCAGTGCAAGCTGATGCTGGCAATGAGAGAGTGGCTTCCAGGGCTGCTTTTATTGCACGGGTTTCAGAAAAGGAGGAAGATACAAAGGCCATCCACTTCAGTCTGTCCAACCTTGTTGACTTTCGAGAACAGCAGGTGGTTCATACAGCAGATAGACCACTGGCAGATGGGAAGCGGAAAAGGCCAAATTACAACTCTAGGAAGCGAAAGTTCATGAGAGTTCAACCACCAGAGAGGAGACAGTAACTTAGATTGTGAACATGGAATATTTTGGTGTATAACGGTACAATAGTAGGTTAAGCGAGTGGGCACGTCCTAAGGTCCCTGGATGTTTGTTCCATCCCAGGCAGTGTGCGAATGGCAAGAGTGACAGCCGAATCAAAAGACTTCTGCGACTGCCTGGGTGCAGGTGCACCGCTGGTTGTTACAGCCAATTTGCGAGCTTTGTGCGAGAGCTTTTACAATTCTTGGAATTATTCTGGAATCTCCGGAAAACGCTTCAAGATGCATACGTTGCCTCCTTACTTTTTTTTCTGAAATTTGCGTTGGAACGATGATGTTAGTCACCGTTAGTCACATCCCTATACGTCCCCATGTCTCCATGGCATGCCATGGCTAAGATTCATTGGGTTGTACGAGAAGGGCGAGGGTCTCGCAAGACATGGAAGCTTCTTGGGAAATGTGTATCAGTGAAGTGCCTCGCAACCATTCTTGGCATTGGAGAGGATCGGTTAAACCGAACTGGACATGGCATGCTCGATAGACGATTTGGTTGCTTTGGACTAGCACCTTGCATGAGCAAGAAGTTGTTGGAGCTATGGTGTGTAAAGGTAATTGTAGGTTATCTCACGCTGAATGCATTTAATTTGTTCTGGTGCAATCTCTTCTGGGTTATTTTCAGATGCATGAGGCCAAGAAGAGATCTCCAAAGAAACAAATGAGGGTCGATATGCATCTCCTGCATCTATATCTCAATGCAGCCGGAATGCTGCCAACAAAGCTTCTTAGCAAACACGATTGAATTCTGATATTTTCTGTCTCACGCTACTATTTATTATTTTCTGTCCGGGGCCCAGGTTCCAAAGAGGTGGGCATCAGCGAGGCAATGGCCGACTGGAGAAGTTGACTGTCTCGTTCAGTGGGCCTGAAATGGATGGAGGGGATGTATCATCAGGTGAATCAGCTTCAGATGTTGAATTTGCAGATGAAGGGGAGCAGTTGGAGGATGACGAAGAACTCCGTCTTCATTGCATGGGGTCCCAAACATTTTATTCAACGTGGTTTCCTTAGAATCTTTCATGATGATGCTGTGCATTGCGCCAATTTGTTGAAAGCCTGGACTAGTCACTGACTAGTCTTTAGGTGGGTGGAAACGAGCGCAGCCCAGAAGATATCAGAACTACCTACAAGATTCTTACCGCCGGGCACCATAAGAATGATCTACTACGAGTTCTGTGAGCGGAACCC